AAGTAAACCCAATTTTTATCAGGATGTGAGATGAGATTATAAGAATTTTCATATACTACTTTCTGTACCTTCGTATGTTTTTGGAGAGACATTTGACAGCATATCTTTGTTAATAAAATATGTCTACATTAAAAAAAGAAACTTCAATTTTCAGATTTGTGAATTGGAATAAAAGATAAATGATCAGAAATGTTCATTGTAACACTGACTTTAGTAACCAAATAATAGAAAATTCCCCAGAGTCCATCTTCAATGGATTAATTTAAAAATGGTACTCAATGTGTGCTGACATGGAATTAAAAAGGTTTAAGGTATTCTGTCAAATATAAAACATTGTTCAACTTTACAGAGATTTAAATAACTTCTGAATGGATGAACACACATACACACATGTGGGGGATTAAAGCCGCTTGTGGAATAATTAAAGGAGAATGGAAATTTTCCATGAACTTTTTGAAGCTCCCTGATATTTATATAATGTTCTTACAAATCTCAGATAACCATATAAAAATTCATTAAATATCAAGACTGCCTATCTCTGTAATGTTGGTCAAAGGGTTTAACTCACATTCTAATTTTTATAAATTCTTTAAAATTTATTAAAATTTAATTATAAATATTTCCAATTTAATAAGGTTGAACAGATACGTTTTCCTGAAAATGAGTTGACATTTAGCTATCAAGTATTTCAAATCAGACAACCACTGATTTTACATATGCTTTTACATTTTTTAAGCACTGTGGAGTCTTTCTGACTCATAGTGACCACGCATAGGGTTTCTAAGGAGTGGCTGATGCGTTTGAAACACCAGCCTTACGGTTCATACTGACCTTGTGGCCCAGTTCATATCCTATAGATACAAAATGATTTTTTAAAAATCTAGAAACAAGTTTGTGATGCTAACTCATCATATATTGCCTAAAATTGTTAGAGTTGCAAAAACACTGGCATCTAAGGTTGATTAATTATTGATTTGGCAATCTACAAATAGGCTGTATTGAAAATATTCCAAGTCACATGTTAACATTTAACAAAATAACTTCACCAGGCAGACAAGATGGTCCCTATTCCCAAATCCTTCCAGCCCTTCAGAAGTATTCTGTGAGAAGTGCTAGGATAATTCTTGAAAAAAAAAGAAAGAGATGGGAGACCATCATCAATATAACCAACATCGAAATGTATTATAAGTTTGCTGTTGTTGTTGTTAAGTGCCATTGAGTGGATTCTGACCCATAGTGACCCTGTATAGGATTTCCGAGGAGCAGCTGGTAAGCTTGAACCACCGACCGTGCAGTTCAAACATTACAGTCTGACACATTAATCCACAATGCCATAGCGGTTAGCATAACCAAAATCATACTTTACCTGCACAAGGATATATAGAAATCTACATAAATAGAAGAAACTTGAGAGTTCAGAAACATAGTCATATATTACTAATATACTGTTTAGGACAAAAGAAACAAAATATTGGGAAATCCTTTAGATATAAAATTGTTTAGCCATCTTGGTCTTATAACAAGATACACTTA